TCGTCGCCCCCCCCCCCTAAATCTTGTGTGCCCTCATCTGGCGATGTGTGCCACCACAGGCCCCTTCCAAGTGATGTCCATTGGGAATTTTTTTTTTTAACACTTTTTTAAAATTATTTTTAAATATAACACTGTTTATTTTTTTAACCTAACATTTTTGCAGCGCCTATTCGTATGGCACGGCGAAATCATGTTGCCACGCCATGCATAAGGGCGCGGTAGGAGTGATGACGTGACAACGACCAAGACCGTTGAACGCTGATGTGATCGGGGCAGCCGCGCCGCGGATCTTGACGCGGCGCTGCCGCAGCATGAGAATGGCACGGCAATGCTCCCGCCGGCCACAGGACCATTATTGCTAGTCCTGCCGAACACGGGACGTGAGTGGTGTAGCAGGCAGCAGCACAGGTGAGGAGATTGCGGAACGCACACGCAAGCCGACGACGGTGTACTCTACTACACTCCGTAGACGGAAGCAGCTAGTCTACTCCTACTCCTACTGGGACTTGCCGCTGCCAGGACGTGACCTGTGGCAGCACCGGTCACGTCTCCATGGTTAACGCTAATTATTAATTAATTAACCCGCTGCACCGTCGTCAACCACGAGAAATTCCTGGCTTGGGCCTCTCATCTTTTGCCCTTTTGCTGCAAATTGTTACTAGTTGTTTTCATTTTTTTTTTCAGATCGGAGGGCTGCGTCTGCTTCGCTTTGCTTCGATGATGGGTGTTCGTGCCTCTTTTTTACAGGGCACCGAGTGATTGTGGCGCCTGAGGGGACAGCCAGTGGTGATTCATCCTCTGCCCAAAAATAAAATTTATCTGTCGCCCAGAAGGCCAGAAATCCCAGAGGGTGGCGTGGCGACTGGCGATGCATGGCCTTGTTTAGATTGCAAATTTTTGCAATCTAGACATTGTAGCACGTTTTATTTGTATTTGATAAACTTTATCCGATCATAGACTAACTAGGTTCAAAAGATTCATCTCGTGATTTATAAACTAAACTGTCGCCCATTTAAGGCCAGAAATCCCAGAAATTAATGTGATGAGAGTAAAAAACTTAGACTTTTAAAGATGCCCATGTTTCAAAGCTTTTGGCTCCAGAGCGAGTTTATTTATTGTATCCTCTGACGCTGCGGTCCCGGCGGTGCATCAGCATGCGATGGGATGCAGTGCATTTGTTTGCGAACTGTGATGCACCATCAACATCAAAGCTCGTGTGCAGTGTGCTGCAAGATTTCAAAGTCTTTGTCAGCATGGGTTTCAGATGCTGTCACGAGCTCAGCGGTTCGCCTTTCTTGGCAGCAGCCAGCCAGCCGGCCAGCAGCAAGACTGTAGTCTGTAGTATAGCCGGTTGGGCTTTGCAGTTTGCACGGTAAAGATAGTAGAGTACCGAGGGCAGTTCCAATGTGTATCGATGATGATTTCTATTCTTGTTAAATAATTTATCCACGTAGTTAAAACGCTGATATAGTAATGTAATTAATGAAGAAAGAGAGCAAAAATATTAGAAATGGTTTCCTCATGAAGAAATCAGGTCTTCTCTTGACCAAATGCACCAAGAAATCATCAAATCGCCATTGGGAAGAAACCACCCGTTTCTAGAGGGCTCGTGCCGCACTCCCATTGGAGGAAGAAGATAGAGTTAGGAGAGAGAAAGAAAAAATAATTATTACTCATAGAAACCATGGGTTGAAAAACAGTATTTTTTAGGTGCGATATCCTATGTTATAGAAACTACTAGTTTTTTTCATTGGGACAACCCTCATCCACTCCACAAATAACTGTGGCTGGTTTCGGTGGATCTTTACTTAAAAAAATAAATGTGTTTAACATTTATATCTCTAAATAAATTTATTAAAGTTGTTTATCTTGAAGCGAAAATAACAGATATTTATGAATGGAGGGAGTATGCAGTATTTTCTAGAGGCCATACTACTATACTAGTATTAGCTATTTTCTCCTTCAAAAAATATAATTCTGAAATAGTGCTAGTTAAATTATCCAAATTAACCAAATTTACCATATTAAATAAGTATTATCAGATTTCTTCATGACTCATGAAATATATAATTATAACATGCTTAGAGTCATACATATGAGCTAAGTCAGTACCCTAAAGTCCAAAAAGTTTAATACCATTTTTTACAAATTTAAATGTGAAAGCTAATTGCACAGTGGCCTAGAGCGATGTGTTGTGCCAAATAAAACGAACGTGCAACGGGCTAAGTCATGATATTCAAATTTTCTACAAATTTAGCCCTAGAGCGATGCCACTGCAGCTCCATCAGACAAAGACCCCCAACGCCAACACGGCACCGCGCTGCGGACGTGAGTGGAGTAGCAGGCAGCAGTCAGCAGCAGCACAGGTGAGGAGATTGGGAACGTACACGCAAGCCGACGACGGTGTACTCTACTACACTCCGTAGACGGCATCAGCTAGTCTACTCCTACTCCTACTAGGGCTTGCTGCTGCCAGGACGTGACCTGTGACTGCGACAGCAGTGAAGTCCTGTGACCGGCGCGAGCATTGCCGCGCCATGAGCTGCGGCGCATCAGCGCCGCGCCACGTCAGCATTCAGTGGTCTTGGTCGCTGCCATGTCATCACTCCTGTCGTGCTCCCATATATAGCGCGGCAACGTGATTTCGCCGCATCATGCGAATAGGCGCGCCCAAAAATGTTAGATTTAAAGAAAAAAAAACAGTATTAGAATTAAAAATAGTTTTAAAAAAGTGTTAAAAAAACTCTCCATTGGCAACGGCCTGATCCACGTGGCGCACAGTACCGCCAACCTCATGGGGAAGAAGAATCATGAAAGTTCTAATGGTAGCAATAATAGAGGATCAAAAGGAGAGGCGAGACACGAGAAGGGCAATGGCATGTTCAACTCATCGACGCCTCGTCCCTTCCTGCCGCACCTCTTTTCTATTGGCTTCCTGGGTCACATATATAGGCCAATAGCTAGCTCACTCGGCCTACTTCTTTAAGCATTGAGCGCCCAACTGGTTCATACATTTTTTTTTTGAAAAGGAAACTCTATTATCTTACACAGTTATATCAAGACGATACAATTGTACTAAGACTATTCTAGGCCTCTACATAACTGTGATGCACACAGCCAATAAAAAAGAAAAATAAATAAAGAAAAAAAACGGCGTGACGTCATATCACGGCAAGCTACAACACACAACTCAATCTTCAGATTCTTACACCATCATATCAGCATCTCGACCATGAGAAAGTCTCTCTAAAAACAACGCCTCCAACAAGGAAATAGCACTCGCACGCACTATCGTTGCCATGGTCCAACCAGTCAAGGCCAGACCATAGGTTTTCATCTCAAAGAATAATTTCTCATACCCCAAACAATGCCTTCAACAAGGCCATTGTCAGGTACAACCAGTTAAGGTCAGACCTAGGGATTTCTCCTCGGAGCCAAGAAACCAGTACCAAAATCGGTACCACCAAAACGAGGTTTCAGATGCTGTCTCCCCCTTCTTTCCGAGTCAAATACTACAGTATCACCCAGTCTTGGTCGACTACTATCGGCCACGAACTCTCATCATCCAACGACGACGTTATGGTGAAGTGACCAATATGGGCACATGCACAAAGTCAATAGGATCAAAACCAAAGCAAGCGATGACGTGTGAGTCAAAGCCAAGATACATATGATCTCCGGGATTATATGGAAAGTACCAACTCAATATGAAGAAATGGGCGCGATCCGGACCAGAGGAGGGCGAATTTGAGCCCGAGCATGGAAGATCTTGGTGACCATGGATGATTGCGGTGGTACCAGAGTACCCAAGCAGTGACATGGTTGTGTATCAAGGGGCAAGGGGAAAGGGGAAGGAGATGTGAGGAGAGGGAGGAAGAGAGGGGAATGGGGAGGAGGAGGCAGAATGGGGAGAAGGGCTAGCGGTGGTGGCGCCACCGAACTAGGTTTTGGGGTGGCTTGGGTGAGAGAGCTGGTAGGGTCGAGCTTCAGGGTTTGCTTGTTAGTTTCAAATGGAGCTTTATCACCATGATCTGAGCTCTCTCAACAAACCAAGAAAGACTAGCGGGCTTATCGGTCCAAACCAACCAAACACATGCATTTTTTGGTAGATCTTGCGCATTTAGACATTTAAACCTTGTATCCAAACATATGTTAAGATCCCATTTATGTGTATATTACTAGATCATGGGTTAAAACAAGCCTCGACGTCTCAAGGTAGCATGATGATGGTAGGAGTAATTAGTAACCAATGTCCAGCTAAACGTTAAACACTAACCAATTGATCACATATCATTTAGTAGTACTAATTATTGAGCTAAATAATCAATTAAGTAGGCTAAACCACCATTTAAATGAGATAAATAACAGATCAAATGAAAATAACCCATCACGATGCAGTATTTACATTTACATTTACATTGTATAACAGGTTAAACGGTGACTGTGGTTTGCCACTTGCCAGGGCAATAATGTGCGACCTGCCGACCTACATTTGCAGGAGCCACATGCTTTTGCAGAGTCCAGTAATTGTGTTCAAACGCTTTTCAAGCATCCACCTGTCAACTGATGATTAGCACTTCAAACATTGTCAACACCAAGTTCTTCGCGTTTCTTACACTTGTCAAAAAAAAGAACAGCACGACCTAACCCAAAACAAAACAAAGCAAATTACACAGCCCAAAAAGGGTGAAGTAAATATTTTTTTGTTTTTCTCTCACAACGGACTCTAAGAACAGCAGCCAAACGAACGCGTCATTTTTTTAAAAAAAAGCTGTAGAAAATCGCCGCGTCCAAACGAAACCAAGGAGCAAACGACACGTCGTGACACAGGCGTGCAGCATCACTGGGGCTCTAAATAAAGCAGCCAATCCGCACCTCCCACCGCACACGCTCTCACACTTCCCTTCCCGACCAGAGCGAGCACGCACGCACGTACGGACGGGCACTGCACGCGGGCGTCGCGTCGCGGTCCGCCGGACACAATCCCCGGGCCGGCAATAATGAGGCCCCCCGGCCGCCGCGGCCTGCTCGCCGCGGGCGCCTGCGCGCTGCTGCTGGCGGCGTTCCTCCTGGTGGCCAGCCTGGTGGTGACGACGCCCCTGGCGCCGTACCTGCTGCCGCCGCTGGCGCTGTCGCTGCCGTGCCTGCCCGCGGTCACCGCGCCGTCGGGGTCCGGGTACGGCGCGGCGCCGGGCGTCGCGGAGCTGGCGGAGTCCGCCGTGGCGTACGCCACCTCGGAGACCGTGCCGCAGCAGTCGCCCGAGGAGATCTCGCTGTCGCTGGCCGTGCTCCGGCGCCGCGCGCCGCTGCGGCTGCTGGTGTTCGGCCTCGGCCACGACTCGAGGCTGTGGCACGCGCTCAACCCCGGCGGCGTCACCGTGTTCCTGGAGGAGGACCCCGCGTGGTACCGCGTGGTTCGGGCGCAGTCGCCGTTCCTCCGCGCGCACCTCGTCGCCTACCGCACGCGGCTCGACCAGGCGGACCGCCTCATGGCCACGTACAGGAGGCACCCGGCCTGCCTCCCGGACAGCAACAACAACGGCACCGGCGGCCTGCTGCGCGTGCGCGGCAACTGGGCGTGCCCGCTGGCGCTGCACATCCTGCCGCCCGAGGTGTACGAGACGGAGTGGGACATGTTCATGATCGACGCGCCCAAGGGCTACTTCGCGGCGGCGCCCGGGAGGATGGCCGCGATATGGACCGCGGCCGCCATGGCGCGCGCGCGCCGCGGCGAGGGGGACACCGACGTCTTCCTCCACGACGTCAACCGGAGGGTGGAGAGGATGTTCGCCGAGGAGTTCCTCTGCGACAGGTTCCGGGTCGGCGGCACCGGCCGGCTCTGGCATTTCAGCATCCCGCCGGTTTCACGGCGCGGGAATGCCACGGCGACCGCCGGTGACCGGAGACCGTTTTGTTAAACCGGATTTATGTCGTCGGCCCTGCAGTTCGAACGGAGTTTTTGTTCAAAAAGCAGATGTAAATTTTTGTTTGAAATTGGAGGCAGAGGGTTGGATTGGAAATCCCGAGTGCTAGCAGGTAGTACCAAACACATGTACTTTGTATTACTCTGTACCTCCTTTCTTTCGGAGTTAAGTAAAGCAGCCAGGTTACGTTTCCCAAGAGGCCAAGATCAGAAATAGCTAAAATGTCCGCTTCATAGTACCACTATTTGTATGGGTTATGCAATACATAGGCCTTGTTTAATTAAAAATAGCGGGAAAAAAAGTCCCCATACCATTTTCACATGTATCTTACGATCATGGGGGAACCTTAAATTGGTCCATCAACGCAAAAATCTCAATTGCGTCCTGCTTTGTCTCAAATCCATGAATCACGAATCGTCGAATCTCCACAAAGGCAGCATAGCTAACATTGGTGAGAAAGAACATGGCGAAAATATACCCTCAAAATTCAAGTTTTTACTCTCTCTTTTGGCAAACTATATAAGGCCATAATTATAATGGATAAATGTAGGTAAAAATAACTAATACCATTTTTGGTGTATGCAAGGACATGGGGGAACCTATTGGTCCATCAACGCAACCCATCTCAACACCGTCCTCCTTTGTCTCACATCCATGAATCATGAATCGTCGAATCTCCACAAAGGCAACATAGCTAACATTGGTGAGAAAGAACATGTAGCGTAATGGTCAAAGAGCCTTAATAGCACCTCAGGTCCTGGATTCGACTCTTCGGACAAGTGAATTTTCTAATATTTAATGGCGTTATGCTTTTAGTGTAGGCGATGTTTCTATCCACAGTGAGACGTCAGTAATAACTTCGTCAATCTCGAGAATTTATCGGCCTAGTCTTCAAAGATACTTATAGATCGTGTCCTAACCTTCACCAATCCCTAGTCACGATGCTCCTTTAATTTAACCACCACTTGGATCCGCCAACTCCTCAGTGGTACTATCGACGTCGACATCATTCGTGCCCCCACTATTGGCCAAGCTCCACCACCACGACCTAGTCCTCTGTGGCCTTCTGATCCGTCACCGAGCCCATTGACTCTTCTCACACCCTCTCATCCTCATCTCATCTCCTTCCCGTCATTTTCTATGTGTCACTGCCCCTGTGTGGATGATATTATTGCATAAGTGATTAATATGGAATTAAATTATAAATTTGTGATATGAAATTCAACTAAATTGTGATATCAGAATTATGTGGTATTAAATTGTGATATTTGCAATTAACATAGAAATAAATTAATTTGTTGGTGTTTCGAGCAAACACCAACGAGTAAATTTATGTTATTGCGTGTCTGACCCGGATGGTATACTAAAAAGACACAAGATTTATACTGGTTCGGGCAGAATGTCCCTACGTCCAGTTCGCGGCTGCTGCTCGTGTTATTAGCACCAAAAAGTTTGTAGTATGGGTTACAAACGGATGAGAGAGGGAAAGGTCCCAAGTCTCTGATGGGAAGGTTGAATGGGTGCTGAGAGCATTGATTGCTGCTCAGCTATGTGTGTTGTGATGCATGGTATGTTGAATTGATCCCTTAGTGGGGTGCCCTGTCGGTCATTTTATAGGCCAAGGGAGAGCAGGGATTACAGATGGGAGAAAGAAGAAAAACCAAAGGCCAAGTAGAACGAGTCACCCCTCGGGGAATGGGCGAGACGGAGTCAGCCCTCAGACGTCGGGCGAGGCGGAGCCAGCCCTCAGACGTCAGGTGAGGCGAAGCCAGCCCTCGGGGGTCGGGTGAGATAGAGTTTGTCCTCAGACATCGAGCGAGGCGGAGCCAACCCTCGGACGTCGGACGAAACGGAGCCCACAGCCTTGGTGGTTTGGATAAGGTGGGACCCACTAGGAAATGTAGTGCGTTCTTGATTGCTCTGATGAATTAGTGTTTATGGGTATCAACTTCTCTTCTTCGGGTACCCTACTTTTGGTCTCCGACGGTAGCCCCCGAGCCACCGGGCGATTCAAGTAGAATTGTTTGGGGGATGTTTCGACTTGCCAGCGGGTGTGCGCGAGCGCACCCAGTGGGTGTAGCTCCCGAGCCTGCGGAGGAGTAGAATACTCCTTCAGAGGTTTTTTCGACTTGCCAGCGGGTGCGCGCGAGCGCACCCAGTGGGTGTAGCCCCCGAGCCTGCGGAGGAGTAGACTACTCCTTCGGAGGTTTTTTCGAAAGGGAGGACTCTGTAGGCCTTGGCTTTCTCTTGTCGCCCACGACGTGCCCTGGGGATGGTGATTCCCCTTTCACCGAGGTTGGATCCTTCACGGGTGTGGTCGTGAGTTTTGATGGTTGTTTAGCTAGATAGTTCGATTGGGGTCCCGGCATCCCGTTCGCGGGGATTCGGCCAGGGTAAGCTTCTCTGAGACTGAATCGTGGGTCGATATGCCCGTGGCGCTCGTGCGCCTGGGCGCTGGCCGTTTGCGGGGCCCAGCTCTTTCCACCCTTTGTAGGGGTGTTTGGAGCGGCTGTTGGACCCGTTGATGGGCCAACCATCGGACTCCTAGGCCCAGACGAGCCATAGATGCGCTTTTGATCTATATTCCTTTTACTCGTAACGAGTCCCAATCTGCTCGTTGAGGTGCAACATCCGGTGATTTTCCCGCAGGAAAGGATAGGGATTGCATGCGTACATCCCGCGGCGGTGACGTCGTGGTAGATCATGGCCGGCATGGAGATCTAGGTGGACGGTTGGTTTCCTTGCATCTGTCACCCCTATAAAACCAAAGGGTTCGCCCCCAGGGTTTCGTATGTTGCCTCCTTGCCTTCGCATCTGCAACCCCCGCCGCTAATCGCCTGAGCCCCCCGTATTCGCGTCTTTGCCACTGTCGAGTTTGAATCCTCCCACCCCCATCTTCCAATGGACCCCGTGGTGCCGCTCTGACATCACCCTCCAGTGCATGGAAGGCCTTGTCCACCGCGGTCTTCTCTACGCATGGACCGCCGCCGAGGAGTGGTGGCTGCCCAGCGAGGAGGACGTGCCGTCGCCGCCCGATGACTACATCGTGTCCTTCACTCACTTCCACAAGCGGGGATTTGCCACCCCCACCCACAAGTTTGTTTAGGGGTTGCTTTACTACTACAAGGTAGAGCTACAACACCTTAATCCCAACGGAATCTAGCACATTGTGACGTTCGTCGCTGTGTGTGAGGGATTCCTGGGGATTAGTCCCCACTTCGACCTATGGCGGTACTTCTTCGCTGTCACCCTCCTAAAGAAGCGAGAGAAGAAGCAAGAGTTGAACATGCCGAGGGGTTGCGCCGGCATCCAGCTCCGCAACAACCGGGTCAGCGAGTACCTACCGATGCGTTTATCGACCTCCAACAAGGGGTGCCATTCGCATTGGTTCTACATCAAGAACGACACAGCTGCCCCCTTGCCAGAGTTTATCAGGCGCCTCATCGAAGAGGTCCCGGACTCATGGAGGAAGTGGGGAGTCTCGGAGAAAGACAAGAAGAGGATTCGGGACCATCTCACCGCCATCTAAATCCTAAAGGAGAGGGGCGTGAAGGGGTCAGGGATCATCGGCGCCTACCACACGAGGAGGGTGGCGCAGCTGATGAGGCGTGCGCTTCCCCTATACACAATGGTGCCCGAGGCATCATTCGACGGGATGGCGCTCGCCGAGGGAGCGCTCTCCCCCTCTAAAGTAGCACAACGCATCAAGGACGCGATGGAGCATTCGTGGGACGACGCCGGTGCTCTCCTCGAGTTCGTGTATCCATTGCCGGGGCACCCTTCGATGCGGCCGGAGCCGGGATACATCGTCTTCGTAAGTTTCCTTTCCTCATGCCTCCTTTTTGACTAAACTCCCGACCCCTTGATGCTGATATTAAGATAGGGGGACCAGCCGAGGAAACTCATCCTCACGGACCACCTAGCTTCGCTGTCGAAGGACCCGTCCATGATGGCGGCCAACCGCACTGAGGCCGAGTGGCAGAGGAAGACGAAGGAGGACAAGAGGAGGAAGAAGCAGCAGAAGCTGCGGGCATGGGAGAGAGGAGAGGACACGGACAGTGACGATGACGACGACGAGGAAGACAATGAGGTAGTTGCCGACACTGAGTGAGATGACCTAGAGAGCGAGGATACACTGACAGGTATCCACTCATCCTTGTAGAGACCCTTCTTGTTTCATGCAAGGGAGGTGCGTCCATGAGACCGGAGGAGGCGGGCCGGATCATCGACCCATCCTCAGAACCAGCAAGGGAGAGCGGATCCGCCACTGCCCCCAAGGTGCCAACGGAGGGGGGTGGCCCCGCCATCGCACCTCAAGAGCCAGCAGGGGCGGGCGGATCTTCCGCCACGCTCGAGGTGCCGATGGAGGGGGGTGGCTACGCCGCTGCGCCCCAGGATGCAAGGGAGGCGAGCCCCTCTTCCTAGGAGCAGGGGGCGGGCTCAAAATGGCCCCGCGCTGATGAGGTGGAGCAAGGACCTAGGGGTTTGTCCCCCAAACGTATCCTCCGCCCAACAGCGCCCATGTAAGTCATTGACTCCGTTGTTTTCTCTGTTTTTCTCTGTTTTCAGCGTGACTTACACCTTTTGTTTCTTGCAGCATCCTAAGACGGGGCAACTCTCTAGCGCTGGCACCCAAGAAGAGCGTCACCATTCAGGCAAGGCGGTGGCCATCGGTTGACGTCGCACCCGTTTTGAGCGGGAGTGGCGCCAGCGTTACTGCCTCATCGACCGGTCAGGCACCTCCCGTGGTGGCACCCATGCCCTCGGTGGGACAAGCGAGCATGGGGGCTCGAAGGACACCCTTGGAGGTTGCTGAAGAACCGGTGATGGAGGCGGTGCCACTGCTGATGACGGGTCGGTCAGACCTTCCGACCGCGCTCAGGGCGTTGACCCCGACGGGCGCGACGCAGCCAGACGAGGCCCCGCCGAGGCAGGCAGAGGTGGTGGCGGCCATGATAGGCGAGCCATGGCTGGATGCCACTATGGCGGCACCC